GGCTAATGGTTGAAGAACAGTTCCATTCTGAAGATGTTTCCCATTTAGAATATATCTACCTTCAAAACAAGGAAATATAAGAAATAAACATTTAGCTTTGATATGTTTAAATTCTATCACAATTTTCACTATACCTTTATTCTTACTCCTGTAAACTACTTGTAACATGACTTAAAATATTTTTTAAAAATAACTGAAAGATCCAGGTATTAAATAGAGATAACTATTTATTTCTGGTATACTGAGATTACCACGTATATCTTCTGAATGTCTATTGCATATTTATCAATTTATCCTTAGTTATACAATTATTTATGTCATGTCTTATTTCTTTTCCAGACTATCAACTTGTTGAGAGGATTTGCCCAATACTTACTGAGCGAAATATTAAAACTCCCAAAGCTTTGGTTGTGTGAAAAATAATTAACTATTTGGAATTAAAGTGAGTATGTTTTTATGAAACTACCTTGGAGCAGGATTTTTCTAAGAAGTGTAAAGCAAGGCTGAAATGTACCTGGTATTCTCTAATATACACAGGCGAGTTCTGAAATACATTAGATTAAACCATTAAATAACAGTGACTATAATGCTATTACATTTGACCTCTTCTCAGCAGGATCAAACCAAAAATGTAGTTAAGCACCACTAAAGTTCAAGAAAAGGATCTTAATAAAATGTGAATATAAGCTTATTCCTTAAGGCTCTTTCCAGCTTATGGACTTAAAACCCATTGAGTTGGAATACAGGCTGCCAAAGAATAACTTATTATACTCAAGAAGATTTTGATAGGTGAGTACCCTCAATTTTAAGAAAATAAATGACATAGAAGTAGAACAAATTACGTTGATATAAATTCTTGGCTCAAGTAAAAGTCAGTAGCTGGAATTTTAATGGTGGGATAACTTCTAAGGGATAGACTTTAACTTGTATTAAAATATAATCATAATAGTTACAGAGAGGAAAGCTGAAAAAAAGTGTTAAAATTACTAAGCAAGAACATATTGGCCCTGGTCCTTGTAGTGAAGAATTAAATTGGTTTATCTATAGTGAATATAAAGAAGTCTGCGAGTCATGTGACTTCTTTCATACAGAAATATGTCTCTTCTTTAACTTGGCTTAAGAAATAGAAATTATTTCTGAAGAAGGAAGATCTTCAATGCCCACAATATTCCTAAAATTACTAAATGTAGCACTTGATAACAGACATCAATTTTGTCAGTTTAAATAGAATTTTCTTAATATTTCAACTTGATACAGAGTGAGTCAGTACAGGAGAATTTTAACTGGTTACAATAAAATGACCTAACCTCTATGGTTTACACAGGCTTATTAAGAAGGTCTCTGTAATTGAGGTGAGGATTATCACTGATGATAAGATAGTGCATATCCACTATTTACCACAGAGAATCAAAAAAGCAATTCAATTCATCTTCAGGTATATAGACAAAATCTTAGGAAAAAACATTTAAGGCGATCTTAGAAGTATTTTATTTGATGAGATAAAAGGGCAAAGCTTGAGACTTTATTTTGGGGGGTCAACACATTTCATCCACAAGGTTTTTCAAATCTGAACTACAATCTGTGCTACTTCTGAGGGTGTGACAGTATTTCCTTCAAAGGAAACACTGAATTCCAGAGGGAAAAATCAAATTATAGTTTTAAATAACCATTACCAATAATTAATAGTGAACTCTAGCTAAACAATAACAGGTGTTTCACTAATCCCAAATAGAAACAGATGGAAGCACAAATGTTTTATAAATAGTGGATACATGAAGAGCAATAAACTTGGCAGGAATTGTTTTATTCTCTGTCACTCAGAGTTTTATCACTTCTGCATTTTCTTTCAATTAATATGGCAAGATTAAATCTGTTTCTCATTCCCTATTTTTAAAAACATAAGTCTTATTTAGTGCTTTATCACTCCATCTTTGTATTGCCTCAGTGACAAAGATAATACTCTTAAACTTTCCTTTGCTGCATTTATGAACCATCATATAGCTTGTTAGATGAAACAACAGGTGTAGCTCACAGACTTCCCTTTACCCCCTTCTTACTTTCCAGATCTTAGGCAAGAAATACTGATCTAAATATTCTTTCAGTTTTTAAACCTTCAAAATCATGAATGTAGGTAGATGAAATAAATTAAGAAGAAAATCAATACATCAATAAGTGGTATTAAGAAATTTGATTCTATATAACTGGAGAATTAGTTGTGAGAGTTGGAATATTATACAGTGTTGTATATCTGACCCCACAACTTTTTAGAGTATGTTCATGTATGCCTTTAGAAGGCCTCTCTCTGTGTGGTTATTAGCAAAATAGTCTTTAACTTGTGCAGAGATGGTTTTATTATTCCTTCTGACCTTAATCTGTTGTTAGATTTTCAGAATGAAATGATTGGTAACACGACTATTAAACTGCTAGCATCCCTCAATGATTTTTACAACACATGGTTCTCTGTGTCCTGTGATTTTCTTTGAAATTATATTTTGTGAATAGCTACCAGGAATACTTTTAGTGGCACAAAGAGCACATTAGTTTTCTCAGACAAAATTTTAAAACTAATAGACACAGACGCATGAAAAACTGCTCAACATTACTCAGCATTCGGGAAATGCAAATCAGAGCCATACCATCTCACTCCAGTTAAGATGGCTAATATCCAAAAGACCGAGAATGTAAAGTGCTGGCGAGGTTGCGGAGAAAAAGGAACTCTCATACACTGTTGGTGGGACTGCAAAATGGTGCAGCCTTTATGGAAAATGGTATGGAGGTTCCTCAAATAATTGCAGGTAGATCTACCATATGACCCAGCTATTCCACTGCTGGGAATATACTGAGAGGAATGGAAATCATCATGTCGAAGGGATACCTGTACTCCTATGTTTATTGCAGCTCTATTTACAATAGCCAAGAGTTTGAGCCAACACAATTGCCCATCATCAGATGAGTGGATAGGGAAACTTGGTATATCTTCACAATGGAATTCTACTCTGCTATAAAAAAGAATGAAATACTACCATTCGCAGCAACATGGATGGACTTAGAGAAAATTATATGAAGTGAAACAAGTCAGGCACAGAAAGAGAAATACCACATGTTCTTGCTTATTTGTGTGAGCTAAAATTAAATAAATACACAAACAAATGGGGGGGCGGGGAAGAAGACACAACAATAGCAATTCCTTGAACTTGTTAAGACAAGTGAATGGATATGATGTTGATGGGTGGGAGGGGCGAGAGGGAGGGGGAAGGGAGATTCGGTAAAGGGATATGAAAATCAACTACATTGTATATTGATAAAATAAAATTAAAAAACTAATAGAATATAAAAAATGCATATTAGTAATTTATTAACTCATGCTCATCAACAATATAGATTCGTCTCATTTATAAGTAAACAGGTAGTTGACCTTACCAAAGGAAATGTATGTGTAGAATTTGACTTTATTAAATCATCACAGCCGAACAAAATGGGCAGCAAACTTATTACCTAAAATAGAATTTATTATATATATAGACTAGGACTTGTCAATGTTGAGAAGTTTCCTTCACGTGGAGCACTCACCCAAACAGGCTGTGGTGAAATGAATGAATTAAAGGATAAAGTTATAACAACATTTTGTTGTGTATCCATTAGATATTTTGTTGACAATGCAAGGACATTACTGTGACCCCCATTTTCAATGTAAGAACACCGAAGATGAGGTGGAGGTCAATGATTTGTTCAAGGGCCAATGCTAGACCTTGAGCAATGCTGAAGGATGGAGTCAAGAATTATATTTGCATGTGTCCAAAGCCCTCTCTTCCCGTTATATCATATTATCTTGCTGAATGTCTCCATCTAATTCTGCTATGTTACTACACACGATTGTTAACAGTAATCACTTTCACCAAGTGAATGGTTATAATTTTCAGTTTTTTCCCCTATTTCAGTTTCTAAATCACTAAAAATGTAGAAAGAGAAGAAGAGAAGGAGGAAAAGAGGAGGGAACTATGTTACTAAAATACATTACTGGGATTAACTAAGTTTTCCAGAGAGCCAAGATTCTTATCATCTTCTAATTTTCTATGTTATATATTTTTCAGAGATGATATGCCTATTTGTCAATATATGTATGAATAATAATTAAACACTTCAAAAAGATTTTTACAAAAATAGTTAAGAAAACAAAATGCAGTTTGCTTTAAACCACCAGCTTCAATTATGCTAATGTAAATAAGCTATTTCCTTAAAAATGCCATTTTCTTAAAAACATCTTCACAAACAGGAACATAGTACTGTCAGTTTTTTAATCTGTAAAAGACATAACATAAGCAACCAAGTTATCCATTCTTAACTAAGATGTTAGAAAAGAATATTTCGTTACACTCTGGGCAACAATAAAGACATGAGAGATGGTTGATCTATCCTTTTAACTAAAAATTCTTCCCCATTGTTTTGACTATTAACCCAAGATTGACTATCTCCAGCAAAAGCTCTCTGGAGTTGCTACAACAAATTTAATGAGTAAGTGAGAAAATCTAAAATTTTGAAAAAAAGATTAAGTATTTGAAATGTGATGGTTGAAATATGAATTTTGTTCACTACTAAGAAAAGAATGATACTTTCATTGCATTTTTAACAAACTCCCCAGATGAGTCTAATTAGGCTACATTTGCAGAATCACTTCTAAGTTTACCAGGAATAAAATGAAACGATTCACTGCTTCACTATAACACATTATTGAAGACATTAGCATTTTTTATACATAAAGATATTAGCACATTTTTAGCTTTCAGCTGGCTTCATTTGCAATAGGCCATGCAGCGATTGAAAGTAAAAGTAAAGGCACCAGTGCCATGTATGACTTCTGCTTTTTATTGGTTTCATTCTAGATCTACACATGCATTATGCAATTTTTTAAAAAGGAAAATACTGTTTAGTACATAAAAAAGCCAACAATCTTAGAAACAAAAACTATTGAAACAGACAAGTACAAGAATTGTTTGCAATACCTGGTTTTAAATCCCCATGGACAAACATGTCAATCATATATCGACAGAATGCATACTGATCTGACAGAGTAGAAAGAGAAAGAGCAATGAAAAAATGTCATCAACACTTTTCTTTTTTCTAGGGAGAAATGGTTTAACAAAACAAATAAAATAGCTCAATTCTATTCCAGTTACTACAATATTTTCCGTGAAGGAATAATTTGCACTCATATAAACACACAGGGAGGGAAAATAACATAATAAATATAATGCTCCATTTATTCCATACAAAAATAACCTTAAAAATTGAAACAGACTACTTAAGGGTAATATTATATTGGTTGTTTTTAAAAATCAAAACCTTTTTCATCAAATTTATTACAAAAGTCATATATTAAAGCAATTTTCCCATTTGTCCTTTTATAGACTTCCAATAATGAAACAGAAGTTTTACAAGAGAAAATTATTTCCAACTTGGAATGTTTTATCAAATATTCACTCCCAGCCCTTCTGCTAATTGTATAAATGGAGCTGCAGAATGTTTTCTCAAAAAGGCCAGCAAGAGGGCTAACCCCTTTGCAACCGGTGAGGAGTCCTCTGCATTGAAATGCTCTTTAACTAGAAGAGTAAATCACAGAGAAAAGAATAACAGCACCAAATGATATCATTGTTAAGCTAATTATTTGAGTAATCTTCATAAGATCATTTTATGATCTTGACTAGACTATGGCCTATGGAAAAAGGGGGGATAAAAAAGAAAGAAAAGAAAAAGAAAACCAAAATTGTAGTATGTGAGCATTTTGGAAAGATTTGGTCAAAAATAATTTAGATTTTTTTTTCCTTTTCCCCCTAAATTAAAGAGACTACACTGAACTTTAAATTCTCACACAATTTAGATTCTCCTGCGGTCAATACAACCCAAATCTCAGTTGATGAAACATTGTAAGTTTTACCACATCTTCTTTAAAGCTTGCATATTATGAAATAAATCTTGTTCAAGATGATTTACATTTAAATATTTCTAAAATAGGCATTTTATTAATCCACCAAATCCAAAGGTAGTTTTAGGACCAAGAGAGTTTATTGAATTTATACAACATGACACATCCTTAATTGCTCCAAATTATGTATATCAAACAAAAAAATAACAAAACTTGCTACTAGATAAATACACGTTCAAGGATTTTTATAAACTTCATTCTTTTTTAGAGTATTAACAGCACTTTTAGAGTAATCCATTTTATTATGAAACTCTGCCAGCTCTTTGAGAAAAATAAACATAGTTATTGTAGTAGATGCAAAAATATAATCCTTTTCATTAATACCTAAATACAGGTGGGGACCAAAAGTCCTAAAGTTTTAAAATTTTGCTTGTATTTTGGTTGCTGAAATTGGAGCACATTTTCCCACAGGTGAGGTGGGAAATGGGAGGGAGGCTAGTTCTCAGATCAGTCCATGAATCTATTGGTTCTTTGATGTACTGGCAGTAATGCTGGTGTTTCTGATCCCAGGACCTGGGACCCTGTGGTACAGGAGAGAAGTAAGGTTAAGGTAGAGGGTATTTTCTCCTTCCTTAACAGACCCTTTTCCTGAGCAAAACTGTAGATTGGGGCAATCTGGCTCCAAAATAAAAAAGTACATCACCCTTAAACAGTAAATTTGGCTTTGGACCAGTGTAGACTTTCAAAAATTGGCAGTCTTTCCAACTTTGTTTGAGTATGTTAAGTGACTGTACTCTTTTTTAGATTTGTCCTTCCTATAATTCAGAAGTAGTTCTCCAAGGATGTCTTAAACATCAAAAAAAAAAAAAAAAAAAAAAAAAAAAAAAAAAAAAAGAAAGAAAGAAAGAGAAAATGGGGAATTTGTCAAAATGCAGATTTCTGGGCTCCATCACTCAAAAAACTAAAATGCCATGGAGCTGGAGCCTAGGAATTTGCATTTTTGTTTTTGCTTTTTTGGCGACTGGCCAGTACAGGGATCTGAACCAATGACCTTGGTGTTACCAGCACCACACTCTAATTAGGTGAGCTAACTGGCTAGCCAGAATATGCATTTTTAACAAACTCCCCAGATGAGTCTAATTAGGCTACATTTGCAGAATCACTGATCTAAAAGTCTTCAATTTTTTTCCCACAATGATTACTAGTGGCTCTATAGCCTCCAGTAACAGCAAAGGATGGTTTTTGTTTTAAATATGTCAGAAGTTTAGAATGCAGGGACTATTTGTAATATGAAGGGTTTGGACAACCCTCCAAAATGAAATAATGTTCTCTGCCTCAATTGTGATGGGATGGTTATATACATAACACGTTGAATAATGTACTGCATTAACTAAAATTTTCATAATTCAGAGTTTATTCTTCAACTAACTGTTGAAATTGTAATGAAATATTCTGGCCTTATGTTGAATTATTACCAAAGTACCATACTTTTATTTACTATAACAATATTTTCTGGATCTCAAATCGTTTGATTAAAACACCAATAGTCCAATGAGCTTCTAATTTAAAAAATAAAATCCCTTGTGAATTCAAAGAATGTTTTCTAATCTAGAAAATTATTTGAGTTACAACACTTAGGAGAGCTCTGTTACGTGTAAGTAGTGCTGTGATCTTGCATTCTAATGGCACCGATACATCAATAGGAACATGAAAAGAATATTATTTAAATATTTTAAATTAGGAATTTTCAAATATTTTAAGTTATAATGCACATTTCCTCCTGTCCTTGGTACTGATCTTAACAATGTATAAGAATTCTAGGTAGGTGTGTGTTGGCCAGTCCTTGTCTGCTTCACCTAAGGATAAAGCAAAACCAAGACTACATGATTTTGGAAGATTTATTTTATAGAAATGTTTCTTTAAACTAGACTTAAATATTAAAGCAAGAAACTTGTCATAATGAAAATCTGAATCATGTCATCCTAACTTTCATAATTACATAAAGTGATTTTACATATGTTACCATGTCTAGGTATTTTTTTTTTTCCCAAATGAACACCCCTCTAGGAATTACCAGTGCTATCCATTTCTACCCTTCTTTGACCTCAGGGATCAGTGACAGATGTCATTCAGTTGCTGCCTTGTCAATATTCTCTGTGGCCACTGAGAGAAAATAAATTGTGGGTGCAGAATGTCAACAAAATGGAAAAATTTAAAAACCTCTAATGAAGATGGGGCACATATGGTCTGGTGCTCTATGGCAGATTCTATCAGCTATACTTTCTCTGCCTGCACAAATATTTGAATAGAAGAAAGAAAGAAGAGAGAGAGAGAGAGAGAGAGAGAGAGAGAGAGAGAGAGAGAGAGAAAGAAAGAAAGAAAAGAAAAGAATTTTCCATCTCATTTGCAAAGTGTGTAGCAGCTGGAAGATTTGTTTTTTCCTTCCCCACAGATTTGCCAGAGACCATCAGAAAACTATGGAGCAATGTCTGATCATTCCAACCCTTCTTACCCTACTTTGAACAGATTTAGTTTGATCCTTAAAAACCAGATGATGTGATATATATGTATGTATATGTAAGATTATGATATGCATTTACATACATATGCATCTTATTCCCAATGCTTTAAGTAGAAATATATTGTTTATATGTATAATATTAAGAGTAATCACATTGAATATATTTAAATGTATACTGTGTAATTAAATAATTACCAATAAATGTGTGTCTCATGTAAGATCTGTTTCTGATTGAGTTAAAAACCTATGGGCCCTATTTGTTAAAAAAGAACTATTTAGAAACCCATATAATAAGAATGCCTCAAACTCATTACTTAAGCTAAGAAAATATTCTCTTGCCCAAAGAACTAACTCAATAATTTTACTAAGTCATCAGCACAAGATTCTCAAAGTCAAAGCCACTTCATAAATAGCTTTTTTAAAAATAAAAACTATATCTGTGTTTATCTTATTTAATTAAAAACTATAATGTGATCAGGTTTTTAATAAACAAATGCTCTTAAATTTTTGCTTAGTTAAGAAAAAAATAATTTTATGTGTCTGACAAGCCATTAGGGATTAAGTTTTGATAACTTATCTAATGATACATTTATTTGATGGTAACTGTTCTCAATAGGAATCCTTGCTTTAGCAAATGCACCTATTTAGCTGATGAAATGACATTTGTGCTTTTGTTTCTAACTCCAAGTTTTATTTAAATGTTCTTTTAACAGATAGCTCTTAACGTGGAAATGAAAACAGTAGATTGAAAATGGAAATCATAATAATGTTATGTTTAATAAATCTGATTACTAATAGAAATAAAATACAGTATTTGTGACCTGGAAAAGAACTATTACTTGAAAGCATTCTGGTGACGTTTCTTTATCAATAAAATATGGCCCCCAAAACTCCAAAGACACCAAAAATGAACGCCAAAAAATATGTTTATGTTCCTAGTTGCTAAATAAGTCTTTTGACATTCCCATATATAATTGGCATAAATTTTTACATACTGTATTTATTGATGAAAAATTAAAACATATTTGGTATGTTTTAACTAGTTTTATGTGGTTATTTTTCTTTTTAAAAAGGCAATCTAAAATGCAAAGTAGCTTAGGATATAAGTAAACCTACCAGTGAATCAAAAGATTAATTTTCTTGTTTTCTATCAGAGTAAAATATTCCATTCAAAATATTTTCTCTTTACTTACTAAATCATTTTTTCTACCCAAAATATTTCACAAATGACATAATTTTAAAAGAGGTAATAATTAATATTTTAAATTTTTTCTAAGCAATATAACCATCTTGAAAATTAAAAAAAGATCCTAGAGCTCCAAACCTTTAGTTTCACTCATGTCTTAAATATTACATTGAAATAAATTAAAATTACCTAAATTAAAAAGTTTGTAGATCACTAAAAGAAAAAAATATAATAAATAGTTCTTTTTTTCTTCCTTCCTTTTCCTTATAAAATATATTTTTTAAAGTTATGTATATTTTGTCACATACTCATAAATTGAAGTTTACAAATATTACTTGTGAATCAGAGTTTAGAAATATTGTGAAATCTCAGTGGAAAAGATAAAAATACATAGCCACATGGATAAAATACAATAGCGGATTGCAAATTTCATATCTTGTATCTTATAATGGAGAAAAATTATTTCTTTTTGCTGTCCAAATAGTTTACTCAGTTACAAAGTTTTAAGATTTTTTTTTTTAACTAAAATCTTATAGAGGCCAATTTTTTATGTCAATCCTCAGATAAAACTATTCAAAACAGCTACCTGAGTAAAGGAAACTTTTATTTTGCAAGACCCCAAAAAACATCATTTATAGGACTAGTTCCTGCAGATTAGATCCCCATATTCTATAAGGGGAGTGTCAGGATTATGCAGCAACCTGGAGTCAGGCATGGATTTAGGGAAGGAAAGATTCAACAAGAGCCAGAGATGTGTTTCAATAAAGCCCTTAGTTGCCCTGCTAAACTCCACCTCTTTATATTTACATTGCACCCTTCCATAAAGAATTTCATGTTTATATTCTACCTGCACTTAAATGCCACATCTCTGCAAAGTGGGAATATGAGTTTGACTTCACTCTTCTTGAAGAATGGCACAATATGTCAGATTCAGAGCTTTCCAAAGTCATAAATTTAGTCGATGGAAACTGACATAGAAAGTTAAGAGTTCTTTTCTCTATAACTTCTTGTCTATTAAGTTAAGTGAATTTAATAATTTGATATATATTCTAAATGATGTGCTCTTGCAGAGGCATCAGGAATGTATGGATAGTTTTTATGATATTTATTTTATATGAGTTGAACACACCTCTCTTAACAGACTCTTTGAGAATTGTGATTTTCTCTGGATTGCTTTTCTCCAAAGAGTATGACACATTCAATCTTTATTCCACCTCTTAATAGAAATCCCATATCTCAAGAATTCAACATTTATCTCCAACCTTTAAATAACCTCAGATGCTAACACAAAACCCCTTTTAAAAACACTTCAAAATGCATTTTTGAATATGTGAACATATTTTAGTATTTCTATAAATAAATATTAATTCCCAACTTATTGTATTTCCTTTCAGGTATATTGACTTATATGTCTTTTACCCACGTTTGAGGTCTGATTTTGGTCTGTTTCAGCCTTTCATTTCACCGCGTCTGTTTCTTGCACGATATTGTCTTAGAACCTCCAGCTTCCTCCTTCTCTGAATGTTTACCTTTCTGTTCATGCTTTGGCACTGCTGTAGGCCCTCTGTCATCCTTTCCTTTGGGTTTCGGTGGTGTTTTCTGTGCTTCTTTCACTTTTGCAGCTGTTTGCTTCACTTTCTCCTGTTTCCCACCTTTCACTTCCATTTTAGTCTTTTCTTCAGCCTTCTCTTTAGTCTTAGCTTTCTTCTCTTCTGTACAGAGTTAAGAAAACTTGGGTTATTTTTGTTTATTAACCAAGATGATACATTTTATTTGTAATTAGTCATTAAGAACAATTTTAAGAAGAGGAAAGAAAAAAACAACAGAAAAATAGTGTTCTTGACATAAATACTGTGGCTATTATTGGAGTTTTATACAACTTATGAAGTGCTATGTTAGACTACTAAAATAAACATAGCTCACCTACAAGTTGAGGTTCTTTCTTAATTGGTACATGAAAACACTTTTTTAGATAATCAGGAATTTAGTACATCAACAAGGATGCATTTGAGACATACAGGGGATGTATATTCAGGCATGTTCACTGACAGACAATGTCCACATCAAAGAGCCTATGAAGTAGTGTCCTTTGAAAAGGGTCCGAGCATTTTTGCTCCACAACTGAAAAATCTTAGGTCATTCCAGAAACTTAAATATTTCTTAAAGATAACTATTAGGAATGCAAGTGTAAAACTACCTACACTGGTAGTGGCTAATATCAATAAAACAATGAAGTCCATTAGGGAATAACTGAGAGACATACCAGTATCTAATGATTTGGCTATAAAGAGACTGAAAGAGTGCAGAAATTGAGATATTGGCTCCTGCTCAACTTAAGTCAGAGATAATTCTAATGGTTTTTAAAGCCCTTAAATATATCCTAAGAAATAGAAAGTGCTATTAGAATAAATATGAATATATATATACACACATATACATATATATTCTATACACACATATTCTTAATTTGATATTACATGTAATTTGGGAGAGAGAACTGGAACGCAGATTAATCAATCTGTGGATCATTCAATTATTTTTAGAAAAGCAATGGTAATATAGCACACATTTGTGGAAAATTGTTCATAATAGAAACTGCGTATTGAACATTACTGTATGGGACCACATATAATTACTAGATACCACAGTAAGTCTACTATGATGTTAGAATTTTCCATCTCATTTGCCAACACAGTGTACAGCCTTTATTATCACTCATGTTAAAGAATTTGATGAAAATAATAAAATCAAATTTCTTTACTTTGATACACTTAACAATGGTTTGAGACTAAGCCAAGATAATACTGGGAGGTCCCATGGAGAGAAGAAAGAAAATAGTAATGCCAGATGCTGGTTAGCTTGCCAAAGGACCAACACCTGCCAAAACACCGTTCCTCAGAAACTACAGGAAAATGTTGATACTGCGTTAGGCGTTGGAAGATACTCTTAAAATTAAATAAATTTGGAAACATCAAGTTAAACTGGTTTATGTATAAAATTTCTGAAAGCTAAAGTGTATTGAAATCTTTAAGTAGGGAAATTATCCAGATTTATTCAACCGTAAAGTTTTTATGCAAAAATTACCCAATTACTCCAAAAACTTTCAGCACCTCTGCAGCTTCTGTGACTATATTCAGGGGATTTTCTTTTACTTCCTATAAACCATTTCTAAATCGTTTTGCTGGTTTCTGCTCTTTCCTGTAGCAAACTCATACATTTCTGTGACAGAAACTATCAAATTTCTGTGGAAGACTTTAAATTGTCATCATTCCAGAACCCACGTATAAATGTTTATTAGTGTCTATCTGGAGAGGACATTCCACTGGGATGGCTAACAGCACCTTACACTCATACAACTCATACATGGTCAGCTAAAAAACCTTTCAACAAAGTCTGTCCTGACCTGGGTTCACAGATAGTTGTTGGAGCTCTAAAGATCAGCACCATAACATAACTATTTGAAGAAATTTTATTGTAGCATTTAAAACCTTGCAATATCTGGCTTATCTTTTCTCTCCTCTCATCACATCTTTCCAAAAGCTTTTTCTCCACTAGACTACTTCCTTTTTCTTGAATAGCTCATACGTTTGCTATGTGTCCAACACTGCCAGACTGTATTTTGTATATTTTCCATATGTCTAAATTCCTTCATGTTCAATTCACATGAAAAAAAAAATTCCTCTGCCATTGAAATTAATAATTTCTTCCTCTGAGCTTCCATTTGTCTGAACTTTTATTAAAGTGCACATTTTACTCCCTGCTGTATACAGTATCTTGTAGCACAGATGGCTCTTCTGTCTTGTCTACTGAGAGCAACTTGAGGATGAGAACTCTTACTATTCTTTTTTGTAACACCATAGTTTCTAGTACAGTGTCTTTTTCAGAGAAAACACAGAATAAATGTATACTGAGTTGACAATTGTGATCAAGGAGAGAGCAAATATTTCACTATATTTAGATAATGTGTACAATATAGTTATACACAGATTGCACATGTAAATATGTCTTTAGAAATAAACTTGTCGAAACTTGGAAAATTTGTCAGTTGGGCTTTTCTTTATACTTCATATGTGAAATTGTTATTTTTACTTACTTTAAATGACACCTACCTACTTCTGGTAGGTTGCAGTTGATTTAACCTTACATTCATACTATGTAATTGAAGATGTGTGAAAGCCAGATTTATTTTTAATGCCCTTATAATTCATAAATAGACAAAGATGATATTCTACGAGACAGGACCACATATATAACAAAACCACTATAATAATTATTAATTTTAAGTATAAAAATCAATAAATTTTTCTCTACCTATTTTAGACATTTGTCAATGACCTTCATCCTCAAAATTGATAACTGCTTCATATTAGGGAAAAATGGGTGAGAACTCAACGATGATGTGAATATAATGAGGAAAATATCATGAAACTAAAGCAACACTCAATTTCTATTTATTTTTTATCAAACTGAGTAGATATTATTAAATTTTGTCTCAAAATATTTTTTCTGATTTATCTCAAAAAGAATTTAAGTGACATTTACACTTAGAATTTCAAAAAGTATTGCTATGTTGTATTCAAATCACCCAGTTCTATTTAGAAGACATTTGATTCATGACTTTTTTCAAATGGAAAACAAAATAGTCTAATCAAAATAATGATATCAGCATGTGATCCAACTTTAGAATTATCATTATCCATTAGCAACTGTATCAGAATCAAAATGTGTGATGCCAAAGTAGGGAAACTGCATTACCCTATAAACATACTAACATACTCTACACTTTTGGATTTAGGAAATAACAAATTTCATCTCTCATTCATTAAAAAATTGCAAACAGCTTAACTTCATGTGCTTCAGTGTCTCTGCATTTAAAAAAAATCATCACTGAAGTCTCCTCTTCCTTTAAGGAAGCTGGGGAGGTAAGTGAGATAATGAGCAAAAGAACTTTGAACCCTACAAAATAAGTACAGATAAACTTCTAATAGTAAATCTATACACCCTGCATTCGTAGAGTTCTTTGGAGTTTCCCTAGAACTTATCCAGAGTTAATGTATAGCAGGAATTCCTACATTATATTCATTTTACATATGAGGAAATCAAAAGTCAAAGAGCCATTTGCCAAAGAGGAGTCAGGCGTAGAAACAGCAGACCCAGAGTGCATAACCTGTTTCCTATTACACTAAATTGCACAATGTTATAATAGTAATCTATGGAGATGATACCAAAAAAAGTATTTTAAGACATATGAGGACAGACATAAATATACACAGACCCAGTGAAAGTAATACAATACCTTCCTGACAGTGACCAAAACAGCAGTGACCTCCCATTCTTCATCAAATACACAGGCATTTGAAGACTCTAACTTCCACGCCACTTAGACAGCCTGGCCCAAACGTGGCTCACCCCATTGAACTTCTCTTTTCTTCTTCCTCCTCCCCCTCCCCCTCCCCCTCCTCCTCCCTCCTCCTCCCCCTCCTTTTCCTCTTTTGCTGCTGCTGCTGCTGCTGCTTCTCCATCTTGGTTATTTTTAATGAATTACAGATATAAGCCAGTTTACACAGTGGATATGGGCCCTACACATGTACCAGGTTAGATATTGAAAGGTCCACTCCTCCCCAGGATGAAGTTCTGAGGTGATCTAGGTAATCGCTGCCCTCAGGCAGTCTGTGCTTGAAACAGAGCAAGAAAAGCTCTGTGCTGCATGAGAACGCCCCTGGGAATCAAAGGTCTTCAGAGGGAGATTCTATTTTAACTCTGGTCACACTTTTCAAAGGTAGTTTATCTTTGTTTCTATCTTAAATATCAAATACTATAGTTTACACCTCTTTGATCTTATTCTGTTTTCGCAGAAATCACTCATTATAGATTTCCTATTCCTAACATAATACTTATATAAAATAAAAATGATATATACACATATACATACATATACAGGTTGTAAATAAACATGTTGTGAATGTGCATGTATATGGTTTGTTTACATCTGTCTTCCCAAGAAGAACATTGTAAGTATGAAGATGGAAATTATTTGTGGCAGGCAGATTCAAGATGGCCCCCAATGATCCTCACCTTCTGGTATTTCTACCCTTGTTTAATCTTCTCTCCTTGAAATGGTTTGCCTTGGGGATTTGCTGCTAACCAACAGTATACAGAAAAGCTGATTAAATATGACTTCCACAATTAGTCTACAAAAGATTGTGATTTCTGTCCTGCAAACTTTCTCCCTCTTGTTAGGCTGAAGAAGCCAACTACCATGTTAGTGAGACTACTGTGCCAAGGAACAAATGATGGCCTCCATCCAACAGCCAGCAAGGAAATGAGGCCTTCAATCAAACTGCCCTTGAGGAACTGAATCTTGCCAACCATCATGTAAATGAACTTGGAAATGATCCTTCCCCAGTTGGACTTTTAAATGAGCCTGCAGCCCTGGCTAACACTTGACTGCAGGCTTATGACAGACTGTGAAGAGAGGACTGAGCTAAGTAAGCTATGCCCAGATTCTCGACCCATAGAAACTGTGAGATTATAAATGTGTGTTGATTTATGCCTAAAAATTTGTGGCAATATTTTACAGAACAATAAATAACTAACACAGTATTCAACCAATATTTGTTGAAGGAATAAATGATGCTTGAAGGCATTTATTTAATTATCTTTGTAAAGAATATCCAATCACATACTGGTTACATGACCTGACAAAATTGTTTTCTCTCTCTGGAGATCAGATTCTTCATCTGTTTAACTAGGTAATTAATTTGGATAAACTCTAAAATCCCTACTAGATTTCATATATATATATATATATATATATATATATATAGAGAGAGAGAGAGAGAGAGAGAGAGAGAGAGAGAGAGATGATATATAATTTCATATACATAATGAAAATAAATTATATATAATATACAAATTTTATTTTTATTCACATTACTGAGACAGAAGGGAAGCAATTAAAATAAAATTACATGCATTAAATTTAATCTTGAGATTAAATTTATGCTATGCTCTAAAAAGCAAAGTCTTAATTTATGATTCATCCATATTAATTTCAATAAAATATAATTTGGTTATCTCAAGGAAAAATTTAGATTAAAAATATTTCTGTCTCAAATCTCTAATTATTTTATATTTTATAGATGAGCATGCTAAATTTTAAAGATACTTTCTATGTAAATGGTTAGTCTCTTGAAAATACTGGACTGAAATTTCTAAAATATACCGATCACAAGAAACCTATATTTTAAAGTATGAGGAAGAAATTTAAATTTCGAGGATAAGATTGAACTATCAGTTAAAATCCATTTTTAAAAAACAATTGATAGATAAATTTAGAATAAAAAGCTTGGTTTACTCAATCCTCCAAAATATATGACTATAATATCACAGTGATATTATATTTATTTATTTATTTTTTTACATACTATTCAGATACTTTCTGTCCTCATAGTCTTAAACTATTGATCAAGGTATATGCATGACCCTTAAAAAAGAAAAAAATGAAATCCTGACTTTGAATCTTCTAAAACCAAACTAAAGGTGTGATACTGGTCAAAATTGTGAGCCAGATATGCTGTGTTAGTTTTCTATTGCTGCTGTGACAACTGACCTCAAACTTAGCTGTTTAAAAAAAAATAATAAAAAAAAAAAAAAACATTTATTATCTCTCTGTTTCCATGATTCAAAAGCATTGGCTCAATATGGCTTAATATGGGTTCTCTGCTTAGGGTCCACGATGCTAAAACTCAAGTTGTCAATTGGGCTGTGTTTCCTACTTGGGGCTCTGGAGAAGAACTGGCTTCCATGGTTATTCAACATGGAAACAGATTTCATTTCCTTATCACATCTTCCATGTGGCTGTCTCAATTTTCAAGCCCGCCAAGGGGAGAAAGTGCTTACACTTCAAATCTCTCTCGTGCTGAATCCCTCTGCTTTTAACTACTCATAATATTACAGTGAACTCACCTGGATATTCCAGAATAATCTACCTATTTTAGATTAACTTTTACCACCTCTGTGAAATCCTTTTTGCCATGTAATGTAACACAGCCATGGGGATGACACCAAGAGGTGATGGTCATGAGACAAAGATTCTGCTTATCACATGTGATGAAGCTTTTCATTTTCTTCTCACATTTTGAGACTATTATTGTAGGTACTCAGTTTTACCATTCTTTTAGATATTAAATCTGAAATGTAAGGCCAAATTAATTTTTATGTAAATAAAATGCTGAGTACTTACAAATATACCCAGTGTAATCTTTAAAGTAAAAATAATTTAGTTATGGAAATAATAAAGGAAAAAGTTACCTTTTGTCACTGTCTTTGTTTCTGGTTTTTCTTTTTTCTCAATTTTTTCCTTGTGAGTTGCTTAAACAGAAAATTTTACATTAGTATATATACACTTTTAATAGATTTCAAAACCAAGTTTTCTCTTGACCTCATTTTTATAGCCACCAAAATAATGAAATATTTTGAAGGTCTATGGCATTAATGAGCCTAATTCAGGAATAAGTAGTTACCGATGAAATAACAACTGTGTAGAATTCAATGTAAAAGACTTGCCATTAAGACTTAGACTTTTGAAAGCTAGATCCACCCTCTTTCTTTTTTAAGAAATTATTCCAAACAGATAAAGCTTTCAGGGAAGACAAAATGAGAGGTAGCAATTTTACAAGAATTTGCCCCAAATATATCATTATGTCAGGAAGAAGCACTGCCTTTAGGATTAATAAAATGATATATTTAAATCAGGACTGAAGATTTAAACAGTATTTCTCAATAGGGTAACAGTGGACATTTGGGGAAGAAAAAAGTTTTATGGATTGGAAAAATACTTAGCCTCTTCTGCTCCCTGCTTAGCAAATGCCCTCAATTCTAAAGTTATTTTGATAAGCAAAAAATAGTTTATAATAGTAATGGTGCATAAAATAATTTGAAAAAGTATTGCTCACTGAGTACAGCTTCTTAATTGAACAATATCCCATATGATTCCTGAAACATTATACCATCTCCTTCTTTATTTAATACATTAATAAATCAATATGTATTCATTTTAATTTCTATTTTATTGATATACACTGGTAAAATCTTTTGTCTCTCAATAATTTATACACAGGAGATCTGAGAAGTAAAACAGCATGTGAAGCTTATTCTTTTAGTTCAAATATATTAAACCATGTGGTTTGGTAGTTTCCCAAATCACTATACATTTTTCAAAATTTGTATACTATTTGTTAGAGAATAACAGTAAAAAATTAAATAAATTATAAAAAATTAAGTGATAAAATCTGATATTTGATTAAACAGTTGGCTTAAGGAAAGAGCCAAATTACTAGGGTAAAAAACTAGAGCCCCAAATATTTCTATTTCTCCAACTTTATAATAGGAATAGCTTTACTTATATCATAAAAGGGAAAAATGTGCTTAAAACATGTATTTTAAAAAACTATTCTCTTTAAATACAGTCAATGAATAATTTTTCCAGAATCTTAGAGAGATGATGTAAGTCTCATAGAAAGCTGATAGCATAATGCCTGGTTGAAGAACAGGTGACCCAGACAGATGCAACGCTGCTAAGAGAGCAGGTGGCTTCTCCTCCAAGGCTTCAGCATCTTCACCACTTAGCCTGCCCCACAGCCACCTCCACTGTCATTTGGAGTTATTGGTAATAGATTGGACAATGTTAGCAGATGGAGCCCTATACTAAGCAGGGTACAATTCACACAAGGTCATGGGCTACCTTATAATAACATATCTCAAAAAAACCAAACATTCTTTAATCAGCATACAGTAAATTAAAAAACAAGTTTACAATGCAGCATTTTATTTTTGTTTTTCAATTTGGATAAATTTCCTGCAACACTTATAATTTAAGCTTGAAAAATTCTCACATTTTTTAACAAAAAACATTTAGCTACTGTGAAGGGTGAAAAAAAAGAAGTATCAGGTTATTTCATTATTTAAAGTACACAGAACCTGATGCTAATAATTCTGTATAACTCAACAGCAGATGGGAATTGGACACCTCTTTCTAGAACAGAGACAGAAGATGGTTGCATTGAACTTCATTATTACTAAGTAATTATTAATAAAAGGACAACTATTTAATTCCTATTTTCAAGTGTGAATACATATAAAATAATATCAAAGCCAGTTTCAACTGATCTGATTCCTAAATGTCATAACGTGTTCTATCTAACTGTAGTGTCTTACAAAACAAAAAATCAGTGCTTGTTTCAGCAGCACATATACTGAAATTTGAACAATACAGAGATTAGCATGGCCTCTGCGCAAAGAAATTCGTGAAGCGTTCCATATTATTCTGGCCTTCACATCTTGGGCACGAGGGGTGACAATCAGCTCTGTATCCAATGAATATTCATAACCAATAAAAAATTGAGATTCTGTGTATAAGAACATAATATAATAAGTGCTCGATAAATATTTGCTATTAAAAAAACCCCAGCAGATTATGCATACTTTGCATGCATAAATCAGCTGAAATCTGGCCCACATATCCTAGACATGATCCACTCTAAAACAATAGCAAAAAATTAAATTAGAATCTTACTTCACATCACACAGGGAAATGAATTTTTGACGAATTAAAATTAAATGTAAAATATAAAACTAATTTCTTTTAAAACTTCAGGAATATATCGGTGGCTATTGAATTAATCTTTGGATGAAGATTCAAAAGCAGAAACACCACAAGAAAATATCGACATATCTCACCACATAAAATTTAAGAATGTAAACATATATACATGAATACATATACATACGTACTCACACATGTCCATTCACACAGACAGAAGCCCTAACATTGACTGCAAAACAAACTGAGAAAAAGTATTTGAAACAAAAGTGATAGACCAAGGCATATGCATACTCATATGACACACACACATATCATTAGGAGAAACAGACTTCAGATGTGAGCAGTTGCACGCAAAAAGATACATATGTCTCACTGAGAAACATATTTAAATCTTTTAAGCTACAATAAGCAATTAAAAGCTAAAGTGGGAGAATATATTCCCATTTACATACTTATGTAGCTTTTAAAAGAGAATGAGGAAAATATCTATTTACTGATGTGGAATGATCTCTAGGATATGTTGTTAAGTTATAGAAGTCAGAATATGGGAAATACTAGATACTGTATAAAAAACAGGGATAAACAATAATTTGTATTATCTAGTAAATGCATAATAAAGCTCTGGAAGGATGCACATAAAAGTCAAAAGGATGGTTTACATGAGTATGTGGGGGAGGGATGGGATGGGAACTCAGTGACAGGAAGGTTTTCACAGTATATCTATACGTGTTAAACAATGAAATAGTGTTATCTATAATAAAAAAAATTTTTAAATAAAAAATAAAAATGTTCAGTCTAATTAGTACTTTATCAAATTAATCAAGTTAAAAGCGATCTGCTTTCTTACCTATCAAGTTGGCAAGTATTTTCTGAAATAATATCCTACTTGCTTGCTAAGGCAGTCTCCAAACTGCCAGAGGAAAAATTGACACAACATTTCTGGAAAGTAAAGTGGTAAGAGTTCACGAGTTTTAAATATTTTATTCCCTTCAACCCAGAAATTCCTCTTTCAGGTTCTCTTCTAAGAAAATAATCATAATATGATTTTAAAAAAGAAATGCATGATCATCTAAAACCTGAATGCAAAGAAGTGGTCGAAAGGCAGCGTTCAAGGTGTGACAACAGCAATAAGAATATATCCATACCTCTCTTTTCAGGTTTTTCTTTTTCTTTTCCTTTCTCTTTGTCTTTCTCTTTATCTCTTTCTCTGTATGTAACTGGAAAGAAACAGATAATACTTTTTATTTAAGAATAAAATAAATTTAAAATTTTTTTTTTTTTAAAGAATAAATGATGAGATAATTGCATGATAGTTTTTGATGTCAAAACTAACCTGCTGCTTTTAGACATCTTTCTTTAAATGGTTCAAGATTTTACGTAGTTAGAGGTTTAAACTTCAAGATAATTATAGGTTTATTTTTATATCTATTTTTAATTCATATCCAAGCACAGACTAGTACTAAATCCAGGTCTGATTGCAAAGATAAGAACACCCCTCAGCTTCTCCAAAGTTTTAATTTAATGAATTGGAAATTTTTTTTTTAAATGCTGTATGTCAAAAGAGCCTAACTTTAATAGTGAATGAATGCCAGAAAGATGAGGACAAAAATACATATTCTTTTGAACTGAAGCAAAGAACAGTCAACTTAAACTGCATGTGTTAATCTTCTACAGAAACATTCTACACTAAAAGTTTTTGAAAATATACTGGAACGAGACTAGAATGATACCTAATCTTTTCAAAGAAAACAGAATTTAATTTAATATGAGTTGTTATCCAATTAAACATTACAACAAGACTCAAACTTAAGTCATGATCTTACCTCATACTTTAGTCATAATTCTTACTCATTGTCCAAGCTAGAAACATGGGATGGATCCCAATTCGTCTCTCTCTTTTGTTTTTCACCCTGTTCATTCACCAAGCTCATTTAATCATACCTTTTTAATAATCCTCTTACCCATCTTCTTTTATTGAATAATATATCCCCTAGCTCTATTTACATAAAAATATAAAAAGAACACCTGCCATGTGCTAAAGGCTCTGAAGACAGATTCCATCCCTGTCATCGTGATGTCAACAAGCTAATGAATGATGGATGCTAAACAAATAATTACAAAGGTAGCAATTGCAGTTAGTATAATAGCTATGAAGAAAACATTCAGGGTGACATGCTGATATATAAAATGGGACATAATCTAGTCTGTATATTTGTGGAAGGTCCCTTGGTAGAAGTGACATTTAAGGATGTGACACATGAGAGATGAAAGGAAATTACCCAAGTAAGAGTGAGAAGGACAAAGGGGCAGGAGACTATTCAGAGAGTTGGAGCAGGTTGTCCATTTCAGGCATATTGTTATTACACCTGTTATAATAACATCCTGACTAGTCTCTTGAACATTTAGATTTAGATCATTCTATCCCAGTATACCCTTCCTAACATGAAAATCTAATTATATCACTCACCTGTTATAAATATAAGCACTCCCTCCTCATTGCTTAGCATGGTATCTGTCACAAAGTGGGTACTATATCAAATATAAAAATATTTTATTGCTCTAGAGACCTGACATTTGCTTACCAATCCAATGTCATTGACCAGGAATTTCTCCTTGAACTTTATTTTCAAGTTATGATAAAATGCTCAGAGTTCCACAAGTACACCATGTGCCCTCAAAAGGCCAAGTTGTGCCTGCCACCTACAATTCCCACACCCACATTTCTTCTATTTCCTTCCCCTATTCCATGCACCCATTGTCTTGATCCAAATGCCTCCCTCTCTATAAAGCTTCCTTTGATCTCTACTTATTGCATACACCAATCGCACCATGTACATAATTCTATTTTAATAATTAAATAATAATACTACAATTGTTGATATGTCTGACTATCCAGTACATAAAATCTTTAGGGGCTATTTTATTTTTGTATCCCTGGCCTGTCACATGGTGTCTGTCACACCTTCTAGTTAAATTCTGTTCATGGATGATGTGGTATAGATGTAATAGGCAATGCTTGCTTCTGATCATTTACAATTTTTCACAATTTATTAAAATTTCTTAAATAATTAAAACCTACTGAGAAACAGGAGGGAAAAAAACATCTTAGAGCACCTAGACATTATTTTGTCTTTTCACATTTACCAGTTCTTTTAGGTATTTCTGAGCTACTAAATTCAATATGAATATCTCACAAAATGAGGCAAGGAAATCAGCATTCATACTGACCGCAAATAGCTTATTCTGGTTCCTTCAGATCACTATTAATTAAGCTAAAAACCAAAAGAAAATCTTGGCAAAAACAAAGCCTCTTTTAAAGTTTCTCTAGGGGGAGCCAAGTTTGCATGAGATAAGCTGTGCTTTCAGAGCCCTGATTGGAAAGACCCCCCAAGGGATCACTTAATCTGTGTCTGCCTCAGAAAGAGATGGGACCCTCCCACCTCAGACAGCTGGCTGTCCATTCCACTAAAGGATTTTAAGATTGACGTGTGCACAGGCATAAAGGGGAGAATTAATACCAAATTAAAAGAGCAAGGGGGCTGAATTCAGACTGAAATTAGCATATTAATGCCTCATTCCTGTTACCCTGGGGAATAATCTAGTTCCTCCCGGTCAAAGTTTTGATTTACAGTCACAGTACTGTATGCTGGAAGTTCATTATCCCCCTCAGAAATAACACTACAATACTGCTTAGTGAAGCAGCTGGACCCATATGCTCTAGGGAGCTGTTCAAGATGGCAGACAGCCACTAAAGCTTCTTGGATAGAAACTTCAAACTCTGGCAAGACTATGTTCAAATACCAAGCTTTGAAATGACTTTCAACAATGGAACAATCCACAACTGCTTTAACAATCAATCTAAAATAAAAATGGTTTGCTACAACAATTGAATTTGCCTGTGCATCTCTTTGCTAAGCAGTTTTCAGATGGAATAAGAAAAGAGTACTTCCTGGTCACCAGCCCTGTTTGGTCTAAGTTATATCTTAGCCAGGGCAGTTTTAGCTCAGGACAAAATAAGCTTTTTGCACCTGCTAGAGCTTAATTTGTTTGTCATCCTTATTTACAAGAAACAAAAGTCCCTTCGGTATGCTGATAATTAAAAACAAATGGGATCCACCAGTTGGAATGGCCCTGATGTTTGGCATCTGAGTTGGCACGGCCCTGCTGTTCCTGCACTTGCCCAGACTCTGACCTTTCCTGACCAGAACATTCAGCTCAATTCCACTCAAGCGCATCTCTTACCCTCCCCATGTGGCCCCTCTCCAGCACTCCCCAAGCTGTGCTCTGTGCTTTTGCTTTTGACGCTGAAAGATGCCAGACTGGCTGAGTCTTTTTCTAAAATGTATCAGAGCTCACAGTCTGCCTGACCCTGTGGTTCTTATTGGGCAAAACACTCTGTAGGGGCCAAACAGTAGGGGACAGGTTATTAGAGTTCTTTCCTTGATCTCTCTGCTCCTCAGTTTACAAATCAAAAGTTTTGGAGTAAAAAATTTTAAAATACTGATTTGTTTTGTTTTATTTTGTTTTGGTAGCTGTCCAGTGTGGGGATCCAAACCCTTGACTCTGGTGTTATAACACTATGCACTAACCAACTGAGCTAACCAACCAGCCCTATACTGATTTGTATATTCTACTGCATTCTTCAATTGATCAAGTAAATTTATTAACCATTACTCTGGAACTCATACCTGACTTCAGAGCTATTGCATAGGACTACTTTTGAGTAACCAAACCAAAAGAAATCAGATAGATAAGCAGTGAGCATTATTCCTTTTCATTGTAGAAGAATTTGAGGAGTGTGTGGTTACTTGTAACAGATTTTACTGATTTTTCTTAAAATTAGTTTCTCTAGTTTTTATATTTCTGGTACTTTTCTTGTGGTCAGTATTAGTACTAAAGTAGTCTATATATTTTAAATAGGTAAACAGTTCAAACGGCTTCATAAAATTCATTTACGTCTATGTTTTATTTCATCATTGTTTTTTATGAAAGAGCATGATACACAATCATAATAAAACTTAAAAAAAGATTCTGTTTTAGCCACTACTAACAAAAATGTCAGCCGTACCCTTGGTTACTGTATATGCCTACGTGTGTGTTTCATTTTTTTGTAACTAATTGGTAGAATTTCAATTCTGTGCTAAGGTGAAATGATCTACACACTTTTTAAGAGACAATGATCAACTCAATAGAAAAGCTTTCTTGAGTAAAAAAAACTTCTCAAAGATTGTATTATCCATTTATCCTAAAGGAAGAATTTATAATTTTAACTTTAGTATAAGCACATTATTTTAGAGCTGATAGGAATGTTAGAGGTCAACTAGCATGAACTTCTTTACTTATGGATAAGAAAACAAAGGTTCATTAAAGTCTATGGCAGAGCAGGAAAAGAATATAGTTATCTGCTTGCTAAACCGGTACTCTTCATCCAAAAGTATACCCCCTTCTCTGTCCCAGATCTTACTGTAAACTTGTTCTTATGAGACAAAGTGTGCTGACTGGATTCTCTTAGTACATTATCTATGCTCTTCCCTTCAATAATGTACATATTTCTTTTTCATAATAAAATTCCTTTTATTTATACATTAAAGTAAAGATGTGGCAAACTGCCCAAAGCAACAAATATCAAATAGTACATATACTTTAAATCACAAAATAGATTATTTAACATTAAAATATTAGTTTCATTCTCAAATCTAATTTAATTTTATGGGCAATTTCCCCTTCACTAGGTGCTACATAGCCACAGTAAGAATTGCAATCACTTCCCCATAAGTGAACAATCACTATGGAGGCGGTGATGCATAGCTTTGTGTAAAGACTTCTGTTCTCATTTTCCAGGTTTATCTTTCATAGCTGCCAGAGAGGAAAAGAAAACATAATTTGTACTTTAAGGAGTCAATTCAGTACAACCAAGAAAAGACAAAAATAAAAGTTTATACAATACAGGATGACTAAATTAATTTGTGGGCTTTGAGAGCAGTTTACGAAGGGCCCCAGGATATTTAGACACATTTTAATTGCCCTATTCTCTTTGGATTTTGAGCCTCAGCTAAATCTCTTATCAGCCTCTGATTCCAAACCTGCAACTGTCTCCCAGAAACTTAAGAAGTCCTAAACCAGTCAATCGGTATTACTGGTCTCAATCACCCTTGTTAAAAATATTCCTCTGACTTTGTTGAATTATGGGTTGAATTGTGTCCCGCACAAAAGGTAT